AAGTATGTGAGATAATAACAGTGATGCCTTGCCGTTGGCAAGCACCACTAATAATAATAAGTATGTGTGGTAAGGTGGGTGACGTAATCTTTCCTCATTGGCGTGTGGTTGTCATCCACAATAGCCTATTAGAACCTGTCTTTCCGGGTATTTAAGGCTGGAGTTATGCCACCTGGTGTACGTCACTGCTGGGACCGCACCTATGGAGTGCGCGTGTATAGATGCGCGTGGAATGGCCATTAACATTATCAAAATAGATTTATCCACAACAAAGGACTTAAGCTTCCTCAGTAAATATAACCGTTTTTGTGCCTTTGATACAACAAGGTTTGTGTTTTCCACCCATCTTAGCTTATCGTCAATAACTGTACCCAAGTACTTGTATGAGTTGACCTTCTCAATTTCTTTACCTGCAATAACTATTTTAGATTGGATATCAACAGAGTTATAAAATTCTATCGTCATGTCTTTAGTCTTGGAAACATTCATTTGTAAATAAGAACTCTCACACCAATCCAAAAAATAGTTCAGAATGGGCCCATGCTCTGTATCACCCTGTTTTAACAGGCTTAGCATCACTGTATCGTCAGCATATTTTATAATGTGTCTGCCTGGATATTGACTTCTGCACCTATCCGTATATAAAATAAATAAAAGAGGTGAGAGAATACAACCTTGGGGGCAACCCACTGAGGAATAAAGCTCCTGGGAATATTCTCCATTTACACGTACTATTTGAGATCTTCTGGTCAGAAAATCTCAAATCCAGGCCACCAAGCCCCTAGGAACATCAAATTCAGACAACAAACGTTCAGCTAAAAGAAGTGGTTGAATAGTGTTTAATGCGGATGCAAAATCTATAAATAATAAATGAGCATGATTCTTACCAGTATCCACATGTCTATATATGAAATTTAGGAGTGTCAGAGTGGCATCCTCCACACCCCTATTCCTCCTATAAGCAAATTGTAGCGGATCAATCAACTGACTAGTATACTCTACAATCCAAGTTTTAATAATTCTCTCAAAGCACTTCATTAATAATGATAAGGAAATCGGTCTGAAATCGTTCATTTATCTGGCATTAGTCTTTTTAGGAATTGGCACAATAATAGATTTTTTTCACATTGCACACATTGCAGGTAATTTCAAGGAGGTCTGAAAAATAAAATGACTGATATCACAGAGCTGATAAGCACAACAAGCACAACTTCTCCCACTCACTTTATCAGGCCCAGGACTTCTATTTTGTTGGGTGGTTTGCAAAACTCTCAAAACAGAGGCTTTATCAATCTGTATATAT